TGATGTATATGAAAAAATTAATATTGTTTTAGGCAAAACAATCAATCAGGCAGATTATAAAGGCTCTGATACCAAATGTGAGATCTACATATCTAAATATGATCTAACCATAGAAATAATACGAGAAACTTAACTTGTAGTAGCGAAAGCGGTAGCACGGTAGATCTCCAGCCATGGTTGATATCTTGTGTGTTGCCTCTTGAATGGTAGATCTGCAGAATAGGGTTAACCGTTTTGTCTCATACTTGACTCAAGGTACTTTCTGAGCAGCATGAGTACCATAATAATGAATAATATACTTCATTTACGTACGTTTAAATGATTAATGTGTTGTGTACGATGTATACATCTAATATAAGTAAAATTACAGTTCATTTACGTACGTTTAAATGATTAATGTGTGGTTAGGAACACTCATTCATGAAATTAAAATTATGGTATTGAATAAAATACTACCATACCATATAATTTAATTTACAAGTGATAAATTATTGAGCTATTACATTTCAGGTAAAATTAATATTATTGGCTTATTAATTACGTAGTACATTTTAAAGAAGAGAAAATTTCAATTTTGGTCCATTGATTATTGGAGTTGTGTTAATTGCCACTTGACTTTCAAAAATATTAATTTAGTACCTTGACTATGTAATTTCTATCAATTTTTGGTCACGCACGCCGGCCAAATTGCCGGCCAAATCTCACCAGAAAAATTTAATAAGTCAAATAATGAGGGTATTTTAGTCATTTTACTATCTTTTGTTTTCTCCAATCAGCTTCTCCCCATTTCCGGCTTCTCCGATGAGCTTTCTTGTTTTCTTTCCCTATTACTTCTCTCATATTTTACCTTTCTCCTCTGTAAAAAAAAACGCCGACAGCTAGTTGTAAACAAAACCGAGAAGAGAGCGGAGGAGGAGAGCCATAGCTGCTAAGATATATGCTGGGCTGAGAGCTCATCAAGGGAACTACAATTTCCCTAAGCACTGCGACAACAATGGGCAAATTATGCTATGCGCACGTGCGCACCTTGCAAGGTGCGCACGTCTCTAAAACGGCGTCGTTTTCCCTGAAAACGACGCCGTTCTAATTATAAAAAAAAATTGTTCGAAAGGCCGTTAACAGCGTTAACAACGTATTCATTATGAAATTATGAATGTAGAGTTATGACATTATGAATGTACAGTTATAGAATTATGAATGTACAGTTATGGAATTATGAACTTACAATTATGAACATAGAGCTTCGAAAATTATGAATGTTCGGTATGAATTATGAATATACAGTATAGAATTATGAATGTACAGTTATGGAATTATGAATGTACAGTTATGAAATTATGAACACAGAACTCTGACATTATGAACTTACAATTATGAACATAGAGCTTCGAAAATTATGAATTTACAGTTATTGAATTATGAATGTACAGTTATGAAATTATGAATGTACAGTTATAGAATTATGAATGTACAGTTATGAAATTAAGAACACAGAGCTGTGAATATATGCTCCTATAACGAAGCGGTCTGAAATTAAAAAAAAAAAAAAAAAAAGATAACGGTGCCACTGACGGCACCATTACCGTGCCCATGATGCACTGGGCACGAGTCCACAGCATAACGATCCACAACAATGAGGTCCTCAAGGCTCTCTGTCATGAAGCAGGCTGGACCGTCGAGCCCGACAGCACCACTTATCGCAGGTTCTTCTTCTTCTTCTTCTTCTTCATATATGTGAAATCAAAGAATGAATTTTTGTTCACTTTATCTCTGCTAATGGGATTTAACCTGGGTGCCATAGATCTAGATATTTACCGACATGGGTTTGCTTTGTTTGGATCATACATTGATGCCTGATTAGCTTTTTCCAAGATTTGATCCAGAAAAGATTGGATTCTTTCTTTGATATATAGGGCTATATGCTACTTTTCCTTTTCCTGTCATTGTATAACCCATGGCCCTGCTTTTCAACTGTTTCTCCGCTGAATTTATCCATATGTCTCCTCAATTCTTGAAAGATTTTATGGATTACACACCTTTCCAAAAATTCATATCGATTGGGTTTTGTTTACAGCTAGCTGTCGACATTTTTTTACAGAGGGAAAGGCTGAAGATGAGAGAAGTAATAGGAAAGAAAACAAGAAAGCTCATCGGAGAAGCCGGAAATGGGGAGAAGTGATCGGAGAAAACAAAAGATAGTAAAATGTTTAAAATACCCTATTTTTGACCTATTAAATTTTTTCGGTGAGATTTGGCAGGCAATTTGGTTGGCGTGATCAAAATTGCATAGTGAAGGTAAATTAACATTTTTTAAAGTCAAAGTGTTGCAATTAACACAATTTCAATAGTCAGTAGATCAAAATTGAAATTTTCTCTTTTAAAGAAATATATATTATTTTCTATTATATATTATATTGAATATGCACAGATCTTTATTCGTGTGTGAGAGGCCGGATCAAGTTAAAAAATGTAATAAAAATCATAAATAAAGTATCCATTATTTATAAAGGAATAAAGTATTACATTTTCCATATACTTCTCTTATAAGTATTACATTTTCATCAAATTCGATTTGTTTTACTGGACCGAATCATCTTGTAAAAAACTTTAATTGGATTACAAAATTAACGGTTTCAACAATAATTCAATTGATACAACGGGTTAAACAATAATATTGTCATGCATGATTATAAATATTATGCCCGCATGAGCAGCTCAACTTGTTCATAGGAGTAAAGTTTGGAAGAATGACCAGAGATTATTGAGTCTCACTAGCGATAATGTGGAAGCAATCTCTCACGTAGTAAACTGATTTACAATTATCCTCCCAGATGCTGGGTCGTTATATCGTGGACCGCGGTGCATAATCAATTATGCCGCGTAGTGTTAACGGAGTGACACTACAGTGTATCTAAACCGACAATGTCTCGCATATTATTTTTATATTATCAAATGAAACTGCAGTTATATCAAAATGATACTGTAGTTGTGGTGAAATGAAACTGCAGTATATATACAATGGAACTGAATAATATTTCACATATTTGAGTGTATATTCTACAATGAAGCTGTAATTATATCAAAATGATCATGTAGTTGTGTTTAATGAAACTATAGTGTATATAAAATAAAATTAAATAACATTTTCACATTTGAGTGTATAAATATTGAATAAAACTGTAGTTGTGTTGAACTAAAACTGCAGTGTATACAGGGCCGGTCCTATCATTTTATAGGCCCAGGGCGTATGAACAAAAATGGGCCCTATATTAAATTAATATATATTTTTATAATTAAAATTTAAATTAAATAAGGAAAAAAATACTAATGTTGACGTGAAATAAGATTCACAAGTTTTTAATGATTATACATACAAATGAAAGTAATTCTAGATGCATTCTTAAATTTAAAATAGCCAATAACTGCATCAATGTTTTCATAAATAAAAAATTATTGTTTATAAAAATAAATAAATAATTTAAAACTAAATGAGCTTATAGAGAATCACATTATTATTATAATAAAAAATAAAGTAATTTTGAATAAAAATTTATAAAACAAACCTTACAAATAAAAGCATAGCAAAAAATCTTAATTATTGAGAGTAATAAATCAAAATACTCTAAACGTAATAAAAAATATTTATAATAAAATATGAAACATAATTAATTTGATAAAATAGTTCAAATAAAAAAGACACAATAAATCACACCTCTTCTATATTGATGTCATATTTATAAATACTTTTTTTCTTTTAGTTAGATCAATTTCAAAATTTTTTGATTAATTTGAATACGATGATACACAATAGGACTTCTAAACTACATTGACTAAATAATTCATAAAAAACTAAACTAAAATTACTTTTAAAATATTTTTCATAACTAAATAACAAAATATATTACATATACATAAATCAGTATAAAGTTCACAAAATAATACATATTTTAAATAAAAGTAGTAAATTACTCGAATATAAATATATTCAAAATTTGATATGAATCACAAATCAATCTATATTATAAATCTCATTATAATTATAAAAAGGTAAAAAAATATCACAAAGTTACAAATTAAATTTTAAAAAAATACAAATTAAAAATTTAAATAAATTTAATAAGTTACAAATTTAATACTATATAACAATAATATCCATAAATTCAATTTTAATACTATATATAATAATATCCCTAAAGAGTAACTGAGTGAGGAAAATCTTAAAGCCAATTCATCACACGCATATAAAGAGACTTGACCCCAAACCTCACTCATTCAAACAACAAACTCTACCAACTCGGCTGACTTACAACACTTTAACATAATTGTATACTAAATATTATACCAATATCTATAGTATATATAAAAGGTATTGGGATAGGGTGGTGGGCCCCTTCCAAGAGTGGGCCCTGGGCAAGGGCCCAGCCTGCCCTTGCCCAGGGCCGGGTCTGAGTGTATACAAAATGATAAGAATAAAGTTATATTTTTGCTGATTCCGTTTCTTTTCCATTAAATAAGACGGCATCGTTTTGATGCGAGGTGCATAATCGATTATGCACCGCGGTGCACGATATAATTTGACCTAGATGCTCTGTCGAGTCCTTAGGGTTGAGGATTCAACATTTTGGGGAGAATGATTATAAATATTAAATATTATTTTAAAGACCCTTTCAACATATGAACCAGTTCACAATCGCTATGTACGTAGTATTCTGAACTCTGCATGCGGGACTATGGAGTCACGATCACTCATCCATGCGGCCGCATGAAGAAATGTGGAATTGAATTGGGAGAAGACGACAAATAGAAGGTTTGTTCTGTCGGGTCCTCCACGTGTAATTGAATTTCAACATTCAAGTCCTTCTGACTTCAATTCCTTCAATCTCAGATCCATCTAACAAGTTTGGCAACTAATTAAACTCTTCAAAGTTCTCCGCGCGAGTTTAGCTCACTGGTTCAAAAAGTAGTATTTAAAAGAAGAAATCAAAGTTCAAACTTCGACAATGGCAATGTGCAGATTATATTCAAAGCGGACAGATTCATTGTGCAGATTATATTCAAAGTGGACAGTCCTGTCTGCTGAACCATTGAGTCACCGTGATTTATATCCTTCTACATGTTCTGTCAGGTCGAGATGTGAGGACCCTTGAAAAGTTCAATCTGCTGAACCATTAAGTCACCGTAATTTATATCTTTCTAAATGCTCTGTTGGACGGAGTGTGAGGGACCTTCGAGGTTGAGAATTCAACCTTCTGGGAGAAGTTCTAGGGCATTTGAAGGGCCAAGACTTACTGGGCTGTGTTCATACAAATTATTATATGAAATTAAAGCTGTTCAGACCCATTCAAGTCGTGGCAACATGGCCATGTTACATATAAATATGCTTACTCTTCGCATTTAATTACTCCCACCCACAACAATTCCTTCATTTACTTCACATAATTTCTTAGCCAACAAAAACAATCATGAAGCTTAAAATCGTTACTCTTGGTATTGTGACTGTCATGTATCTGCTTTTTCTTCTGACCACCTACCCTATGATGGAGACAGTAGAGATGTTTATGGAACTGGTGAACAAGAATGGATGATGAAGAATCATCTGATGTTGCCGTCTCCCAATGGTGCTGATCTGAACGAGAAGAATTTTGTAACTACAAAGAAAGGAGGGTTTCAGTCCAAAAAGGAATATCTTTTCTTACAATCTTTGCAGACATGGCGATCTAATTCTGAGCCAGGATCCAACCCCGAGCACAATGCAGTTGTCCCGCTGGTGAGAAGAACTTTGCAGGATTGGAGTTGAAAAAGAAACGTGTTTTACTACTTTCCCTTCAAAAGCAGGGACCTGTTACTTTCTCCCGGACCGAACTGAAAGCACAATTCAATTAAGCCTCCACCACCCAATCCAAGCCATAAACACCGCGTCAACACATTCCCCTGAAAAGAACTTTGCAAGTTCTGAGTTGAGAAACCAACATGTTTTACTACCTTCCCTTCAAAAGGGGGACCCGTTACTTCTCCAGGATCCAACCCAGGATACAATTTACCACCCAGTCCAAGTCATAAGCCAGTCAGCACATTCAGTGAAAAGAATTTTGCAAGTTCTGAGTGAGAAGCCAACATGTTTTTACTACCTTCCCTTCAAAAGGGGGGGCCTGCTACTTCTCCCGAACCAAACCGAAGGCACAATTCAATTAAGCCTCCACCACCCAATCCAAGCCATAAACACCCGTCAGCACATTCACTGAAAAGAACTTTGCAAGTTCTGAGTTGAGAAGCCAACATGTTTTACTACCTTCCCTTCAAAAGGGGGACCTGTTACTTCTCCCAGACCAAACCGAGGGCACAATTCAATTAAGCCTCCACCACCCAATCCAAGCCATAAACACCCCGTCAGCACATTCACTGAAAAGAACTTTGCAAGTTCTGAGTTGAGAAACCAACATGTTTTACTACCTTCCTTCAAAAGGGGGGACCTGTTACTTCTCCAGGATCCAATCCAGGACACAATTTACCACCCAGTCCAAGTCATAAGCCAGTCAGCACATTCAGTGAAAAAAACTTCCAAGTTCTGAGTTGAGAAGCCAACATGTTTTACTACCTTCCCTTCAAAAGGGGGACCTGTTACTTCTCCCGCGACCAAACCGAGGGCACGATTCAATTAAGCCTCTACCACCCAATCCAAGCCATAACCACCCAGTCAGCACATTCAGTGAAAAGAACTTTGCAAGTTTTGAGTTGAGAAACCAACATGTTTTACTACCTTCCCTTCAGAAGGGGGGACCTGTTCCTTCTCCAGGACACAATTTACCACCCAGTCCAAGTCATAAGCCTGTCAGCACATTCAGTGAAAAGAACTTTGCAAGTTCTGAGTTGAGAAGCCAACATGTTTTACTTCCTTCCCTTCAAAAGGGGGGATCTGTTACTTCTCCCAGACCAAACCGAGGGCACAATTCAATTAACCCTCCACCACCCAATCCAAGCCATAACCACCCAGTCAGCACATTCAGTGAAAAGAATTTTGCAAGTTCTGAGTTGAGAAACCAACATGTTTTACTACCTTCCCTTCTAAAGGTGGGACCTGTTACTCCTCCAGGACCCCAATCCAGGAAACAATCAGCACCCAGTCCAAGTCATAACCCAGTCAGCACATTCAGTGAAAAGAACTTTGCAAGTTTCGGGTTGAGAAGCCAACATGTTTTACTACCTTCCCTTCAAAAGGGTCCTGCTACTTCTCCAGGACCTAACCCTGGACACCATTCAATTAGTTCAATTCATCATAAGAACTTTGCAGGTTTGAAAATGAGAAAGAACCATATTTCTCTTCCATCTATGAAACTGCGGCCAATTACTCCTCCATGAACAACTCTTGGTCAAAACTCAGGGTGCAACATGCGTACTAAAAAGAACTTTGCAGATAGGAAAATGGCTTCTGCACATCCTCCCTCCATTTCCTCTGGTGGTTTAGTTGCATCTCTAAAGGCTACTAGCTAATTAAGTTACAGTATTAAATTTCAGCGGATACTGTCCATTTATTTGTTCTTTCTGTCTCTTTTTTCTTCTTTTGTTTTTTCAAATTTATTGTAGTGACTGAATAAAATAAAATGAATGTAATAATTAATGATCTGAAATATGGAGTATGAAATAAAAGTGTCATGTTTAGTTCTATTATATAATTTGTTGTCTATATCTGCATATATATTTGCATGCGACAAAGAAAATTTAGAAAATTTCATGACTTAATAATATAATAAATGAATAATAAGAGTAAAATTAGTCACGAAACTATATATAAAAATGCAATTAGATCATCCATCTCAAAAAATATAAATAACTCCATAAACAAGCAAAAATATTGTAATTTAGTTCAAAAGTGACATGTCTACTACGTAAATTGCTAAGATGGCGATTAACCTTTGATACATTATTTTATTTATTTATTTTATTAATTTTAGATATTAAAAAAAAAGTGACCCTTAAAATATCAATATACGAGTAATATTTTAAAAATATAATGTAGAATCCAGACTATGTCTCGGATATCAGAATATTCATTTTTCTAGAATATCATTTTGAAATAGCAGTGCTATTCATATTTTAGATCATTGTTGTTGTATTGCATCTTTAATATGAATTCAAATTTAGTTGATTCTTATTATTCTAGACAAAATTTTATTGTAAAAGTTTATGGTATAAATTAAGAACTAAGAGAGAAAGTTTCTTAGTTCTTCAAATTCTCTAATTAGTGCAGATTAAGGCACAAATTAATGAGGAAAAGTGTTTCGAAGGGCAATTTGATCATACGATAGCATCAACCCAAAACAAAATAATGTAAACATATCTCATTATCCTTTTCAAAGGTACACTAGCCAACAAAAGGAAAACCCCCAAACACATGACCTCACGCCGGTAGAGATAACAATGCCCTCCAACTAATGTACAACCCAACGCCTTACGTTACACCACACCTAGCACACTACTGCATAGCCTAATGTCCTATGATGCACCCTCCTAAAATCATAAATTTGTTTTTTATTTTTTATTTTTTTTTTTGCACACCTCACATCTTTTTTTGAGAAATTCGAAGCAAAATATTCAGAAATTCAAATCGCACCAGAAATATCAATTAGCAGAAACATCCAGAAACTGACCCAACTTTTTTGAATTTTTTGAAAAATATTGGTAACAAATTTTGAGACCAAATTTTCCATATATCAAGTTTAACAAAACTACGACAGGCACAAAAAAAATTCAAAGCAAAACAATGAACGTAACTAATTTTTTCTGATTTTTCAAAGTTGATCGCGCAAAACTGCAAATTTCTGACAGATTGTGTTTTTTCTACTCAAAATAAAGTTTGAGATGGATTATAACTTATTGGAGCATGAGGAAAATCTAGGCTCTGATACCAAATGATACAAAACTGGTTGGCTTGATCTTTTCTTTTTTTCAAACTCTAATATAAAGAAGAGTTAATACCCAAAATAGTCCCTCGACTATGTCGTAATTACCAATTTGGTCATCGACTATCATTCTTACCCAATTAAGTCCTCAACTATACAATTTTTACCCAATTTAGTCCTTTGTCAATTTGACTGTTTGTTGACTGTCAAAAGTGGAAATAAAGTTGTAATTTTACAAGTTTTCTCCTTCCTCCTCATTTAGCAGCGCCAAAACATGTAGCAATAAGCTCCGGTTGGGGTTCTAAACCTGTCAGTATCGAAGTAGTGGTTATGCATCGGATAACCCATGAATTTGATTTCCAACGATTTTTTGACGATCGAAATCTGATCGGAGTGTATTGCTGCATGGTTTGGGCGCTGCTAAATGGAGAGGAAGGAGAAATCTTGTAAAATTATAATTTTTATCCCGACTTTTGACAGTCAACAAATAGTCAAATTAATACAGAGGACTAAATTGGGGTAAGAATTGTATAGTTGAGGACTAAATTGGGTAAGAATTGTATAGTTGAGACTTAATTGAGTAAAAGTTACATAGTTGAGGACTTAATTGAGGTAAGAATGGTAGTTGAGGACCAAATTGGTAATTATGACATAGTCGAGGGACATTTTGGGTATTAACTCTATAAAGAATCTCATAGAATGGCTTATTTTGTTGGGTGAATTTGATTCAAAGGTTTAACTTGGGCTGGGAAAGGGTTGGGTGAATTTGATTCAAATTAAAGCTTTAACTTGGGCTGGGAAAAAAGGCTAATTTTTTTTTTTATTTTGATAAGTTCACGGCCACAACGGATTATAAGGTGATACATGGAGTAAGAACGACGCCACAAGTGAGTTTTATACTTGATAAGTCAAGATGGCCATGACCGACTCACGACCGAATTGAACTCATTTCGAGTTCAAAAAAACACTCTGTTTTCTAACTCAAAAAATTCAACTCTCTATTTTATTCATATAAGACAGCGATATTTATAGTTGTAGATCCTAGTTTCATTAGACACTTCCCAAAAGAACTAGAAATTCTAACAACTAAAAACAAACTAATTATGATAAACATAAATAACAAACAACACTAAAACTCCTAAATCTAATTTAATATAAACTGACTAACTATAAAAAGCACACAATCAATTTAAATCACAAATTAACTAACTAAATAATGAATATAATAATTCCCAAAAACTAATTAATTTAAAATTATAATGGCACCATAATTTATTAACAACTCAATCATGGATTGGCTCACATGTTCGCAACAGTTGGCTACCCTAGTTCCAGTGTCTTGTCACTTGGATACTGCCACGGAACCATTTCCCAACCCTACAGGAGTCTAGCCGGGGCTTTGTAGTACTTGACGGGGACTCGTCTTGATATGTCTTTGCTATAAACTAACTGTGCCAGCATATGCATGCTCCTTCTGTGGCACATTGGTCTCAACTGAAGTGTGTGCTGCGGTCTATTAAGGGTACCTTACACTTTGGGCTTCGTTTGTGCAAATCTCCTACAACTGATATTCATGTGTTCTCTAATTCGGATTGGGTTGGCTGTTCGTAGATCGAAAGTTTAGGAGTTGTTTGCAGTGTTCATGGGCTCAAATTTATTCTCATGGGTGTGTCGAAAGCCAGCGCACATTTGCCAGGTCTGAGGTAGAATACAAGGCCCTTGTTGATGTCGGTGCGGAAATCACGTGGATTGTTTCACTATTGCGTGAGCTGGTATTAGCCAGTGCCTGTCCCGAAACTGTGGTGTGACAACCTTGGTGCTACTTATATGTGTGCCAATTCGGTATTTCATGCGCGCACCGAAACACGTGGAGTGATTATCACTTTCTTAGGGATAAGGTAGCATCGGGGGAACTTCAGGTTAACTTTATTTCAACCAAAGATCATCTAGCGGATATCTTCATTAAGGCACTTCCGGCTTCGCGGTTTGCGGCTCTGCCGAACAAACTTCATGTTGTCGGTTCAACATGAGCTTGCGGGGATTGTTAGGACTCTTGTACTCCTAGTTGTAGTATAAAACTTCCTTTCGTATTTGTTATATCTTATTGTATCCTTATCAGGTTAATGCATGTTTAATTACCTAAGTCTAATCGTCACATCAAAGAGTAAAAGTGATGGAGTAGAAATTAAGAATCTATATAATAGAACTCTATCAAATAAAAATTGACCCTTTTAACTACAATTAGATGGACAAAATTCAATTAGATTAAAAGACATTGATCGAATTAAATATTATTTTAAAATAAAATTGTAAAGTAGAATTGTGTTTTAACCCAACAGGGTTAGCTCAAGTGGCAAATGAGCTCTCTTTGTGGGGGAGAATCCAGGATAACATGGGTTTGATTCCACAAGTGACGATCCCTTTTGGGCCGTCTTCTGTGTCTCTCGGAGCGAACCGAGTGGACCTACACCGTTAAACGGATAGAGAAAGACCCGGACCACAATGTGTGGTTGACACAAAAAAAAAGTAGAATTGTTCAACTTATTACCTGTTCAACATAAATGAGATTCCTAAGATATGGTCCGTCGGGTCCTTGACGTACGTGTAAACGTCAACAACATACGAGGGAATAAGTGAAATTCAATATTCAAGCAATGAGTTTTTTGCACTTTAGTCCCACGACTATAGTGGCACTGGCAGAATTGATCCACGACTTTTGAACCTTGTAATTTTAGTCCACGACTATTGATCTTTTTGCAAAAATGGTCCTTCCGGCCACTTTTCCGTCAAAATTTCACCGGAAAAAAAAAATTCTCTATTTTTAGCTGGGTTAAATGCCGGCGGCGGAGTACATGTACCAGTCCAAAGCTGTTGCCGGATAACCCAACTAGCCCGGGGAACGCCACGGCCGCTCCGCCACTTACTGACAGCCCTGCCTGCTCCAGGAACTCCGCCGTCTGGACAGTAGTATGTAGCCCAGTAATATTGTATGTAGTCAAATATCAATTTTTTTCTTTTAATTTGTTGAGATAAGTAAAATGTCAATTTTAACCCGGCTAAAAATGAAGAATATTTTTTTTTCCGGTGAAATTTGACGGAAAAGTGGCCGGAAGGACCATTTTGCAAAAAAAATCAATAGTCGTGGACTAAAATTGCAAGGTTCAAAAGTCGTGGATCAATTCTGCCGGTGTCACTATAGTCGTGGGACTAAAAGTGCAAAAAACTCTATAGCAATCAAGCCCTTGAGTTTTTGGATTATTGTTATACTTCAATTCCTTCACTCTCAAACAGACACTTGATAAGTTGTTGGCAAGTTCTACGCGGAGCCATTTGAAGGGCCAAGAGTACTTATTGGGTTGTTAGTCATACAAATATACTGAATCCAAAACCCATAAAACATATGCCTCCAAAATACATAAACGTCTACTTCACGAGCTCGGACCCATTCAACTTGCAATTGTTATACGGTGGATCATGGTCTGAAAAGAGTGCCATTTTTTTAAATCCCGTATTTCGGGTGTTTTCAGAACAAAATGAAATTATAGTGTATTTAAAATTAAATTGAATTACTTGTCTCACATATTGTTTTAT